TCTGCACTCATTGCTCCTCCCCCCCTTACTGGTGTCATCCTCTAGTCCCTTTCACTACTCACCCACAGCAGAGTTCTCTGTCTCCTCCCCCCCACAAGAGTGTCCTCTGTCCCCCTTAACCCTCCACATCAGTCTCATCCTCTGCCCCCCTTCACTCCCCTACCACGGCAGTGTTTTCTGCAACACCCTCCCACAGTAGTGTCCTCCTTTCCCCCCTTCCCAGCCATGTTTTAGCCCCTTAACTCTCATACCTTACTGGAGTATACAACAGAGTGGAGGATGGGCGCAAAAGCTGCTGGAGCTAGCGTTTCATATTAACAAGCTAGTGATTGGTTACTAGGACCACCCTGCATCCTAGCAACCAAGTACTTGTTGGTTAACTTGAACGTTTAACTTAAACAGCTCCCACCTTCTATCCAGCACTCTGCAAGATTCAAGGTCGTATTTATTTAAAAAAATTATTATTATGCAACTGACATTTCGGGCATGGTGTTCCCCTTTATCGCGGTCATTGTCACCTGCATAAAGGAGAGCCTCTACATTCGCCAAACATCAGTTATTTGATATTGAGTGAATCTTGTGAAGTATTGACCTCCCTTTATTTATTTGATTCTAATAGCGCTATCTGTCCGGGCCCTCACATAGCACATTAGATATGGCTGCAGGATTATAACATACCATTTTTCATTTATCAACAGGAACAGAGACGACATTTAAAACTTGGCAGAGTTTTAACTCTTCTCCACTTTGTTCAAAAATAACAAATGGATAAAAATAGGGTTTAAGCTCCAAAATATGCATCAGTAATGTAATATCTTATTCCATACAGCATGCACAAATACTGAACAGTAATTTCCCTCTGGCACTAACATTCCATGTATATGTTGGCCTCCACATCCTAATTAATGGATTGACTTCTCGTTCTCTAGTAATATAACATTAGGTTTAACATGAAAAATGTACCCCACCCTATATTTAAATACAGGTCAGGATGTTGATTTTAGTACAATATCCACATCTTTAGATAAGCATGGCATGCTCCTACCTGCAGACCAACATGTAATCAGAATCATGCATGTTTGTCCTGTCTGAGAAGACAGCTAGAATTACAGTCACACCTATATGCTAATTTTGAACACCTATGCTATAAGGAAAGGCAATTTGTTCTTAAAGTATACTTGGCAGGTGATAGCTTGTCAAACTAGATGTTGGATAACAAGAAGATATATGAATACCTAATTTACCTGCAGAAAATTAAGGCTGGTTTGGGAAAAAAAGATCAAATGTTGATTGATGGCAGACAATCCAGCTTAATATAAGGAAGTCTATTTTGTGAATTGTTTGGGAATTTCAGGTCATATCAGAACTCCTGATGGTGATTTTTCTGACTTCTTAGAATATGTTTCTGGAAACCAGGCCAATTCTGCCCCTTGCTAAGTGGCAGAAGATAGAATCAAAGTGCCATACATGTGTTGATGTCATCATCGGTCTAATATGGCAGCAAATATATCTTCCTCCCAACTCCCATCTTATTCACAGGAAGATATCTGTCCATCTGTAGCTGCCCAAGGAGAAGCAGGTGCAAGCTACCTGCTATAACATTTCACACAAGGGTGTCAATGCTGCTTTGAATTTAGCAGCAGTGCAGTGTTGTCAATCTAACACAAGAAATTGCATGTTGTGCACTTTACTGGTAGAATCAACAGCAATTTGTGAAACATTGCAGGGAGATTTAAGGTAGACTGTAAGTACAGATGTAGTTAAAATTGATTGCACATAAGATTATTTATATTTCTTGTGAATTTTTTTTTTTTTTCTTTTTAGAATTTTTTTTCTTTTTAGCAGTTTTTTAGAATTGGACATAGACAAACAAAACCTGTAGGACAGCCCAGTGTATGACCCCTCCTATTACCAGCATGCCTCAGTTTTGTAGTAAAGCAGTACTAAGAGCATGAGCATAAACACAAAGGGCTGGACCAATAGTATGTCCCTCAATAGACTTCAACAAAAGATGCTCCCTCCCAGATTATATTGAGCTACAGAATAGGGTGTGAATTGTGAGATTGTAAAGGGAGACAGTAGTTACAGTGGGGATCGAAAGTTTGGGCACTCCAGCTAAAAAATTTATATTAATGTGCATAAAGAAGCCAAGGAAAGATGGAAAAATCTCCAAAAGGCATCAAATTACAGATTAGACATTCTTATAATATGTCAACAAAAGTTAGATTTTATTTCCATCATTTACACTTTCAAAATAACAGAAAACGAAAAAAAATGGCGTCTGCAAAACTTTGGGCACCCTGCAGAGTTAATATCTTGTACTGCCCCCTTTGGCAAGTATCACAGCTTGTAAATGCTTTTTGTAGCCAGCCAAGAGTCTTTCAATTCTTGTTTGAGGTATCTTTGCCCATTCTTCCTTACAAAAGTCTTCCAGTTCTTTGAGATTTCTGGGCTGTCTGTCACGCACTGCTCTTTTAAGGTCTATCCATAGATTTTCAATTATGTTGAGGTCAGGAGATTGTGAAGGCCATGGCAAAACCTTCAGTTTACACCTCTTGATGTAATCCCCCGTGGATTTCGAGGTGTGTTTAGGATCATTATCCATTTGTAGAAGCCATCCTCTCTTTAATTTCAGCTTTTTCACAGATGGCATCAAGCTACCATCCAAAATTTGCTGAAAGTTTATTGAATCCATTTTTCCTTCTACTCGTGAGATGTTCCCTGTGCCACTGGCTGCAACACAACCCCAAAGCATGATTGATCCAACCCCATGCTTAACAGTTGGACAGAGGTTCTTTTCATTAAATTCTGTGCTCCTTCTTCTCCAAGCGTACCTTTGCTCATTCCGGCCAAAAAGTTCAATTTTAACCTCATCAGTCCACAGAACTTGTTTCCAAAATGCATCAGGCTTGTCTATATGTTCATTTGCAAAGTTCAAACGATGATTTTTGTGGTGAGGACGTAGAAGAGGTTTTCTTCTGATGACTCTTCCATGAAGACCATATTTGTACAAGTATCTCTTTATAGTGGAATAGTGTACCACAACTCCAGTGTCTGCCAGATCTTTCTGGAGGGATCGTGCAGTCAAACGTGGGTTTTGAATTGTTTTTCTCACAATCCTGCGAGCTGTTCTGTCTGATATTTTTCTTGGTCTTCCAAATCTTGCTTTAACTTCCACTGTTCCTGATGACTGCCATTTCTTAATTACATTCCGAACAGAGGATATTGACATCTGAAAACGCTTTGCTATCTTCTTATAGCCTTCTCCAGCTTAGTGAGCGTCAACTATTTTCAGTTTCAGTTTTCTAGACAACTGCTTAGAAGAACCCATGGTGCTGATTGTTGGGGCAAGGTCAGATGAGTCTGGGCATTTAAAACCTTTGAGATTGACATCACCTGGTCTTCCCAGACGATGATTGAGAACAATCCATGACACTGGCAGGTCTCAGCTTGGCAAAGGGGGCAGTGCATGCTATAAATTCTGCAGGGTGCCCAAACTTTTGCAGACGCCATTTTTTTGTTTTCTGTTATTTTGAAAGTATAAATGATGGAAATAAAATCTAACTTTTGTTGACATATTATAAGAATGTCTAATCTGTAATTTGATGCCTTTTGGAGATTTTTCCATCTTTCCTTGGCTTCTTTATGCACATTAATACAAATTTTTAGCTGGGGTGCCCAAACTTTCGATCCCCACTGTATGTGTATGTGAGCAAGCAAGAAATGATTGATTTAACACAGGTTTTCTTTTTTCTGAGGAGGACTAGGAAGAGCAAAACCAGAGTTGATATTGGGTATGCCCAAATGTCACAGAGGTTTTTAGAGGTAATAAACTAAAAAATATATAAAAGTAATGAGACTACTGATCTGTTTTTTCTTCCGCTTTTGCGTTTAAAAAAGCAGAAGAAAAATGTGTGGCCATGTAATCTTTTGGAATTATTCACACTGATCTATTGCAGGTCTGCTGCATTTAGTAAAATCCTGCTTGCTGCATTTTTGGTGCAGTAAAAAATCGCCCCTCCCCATTGAAATGCATGAAAAATGTGGCAAAAACGTACCTGTGTTGTTTTTTGATGCGGTTTTTGAGTTACATGTCCTGTGTAAAACGTGGCAAAAACACATGCGTTTTTAGTTTTTTTGCTACGGATCAGTGGGAAAGTAGTCTTGATGATAATAATAAAAACAAAAATCAAGTACAGTGTACGACAAGGAAACTTGTACAGTGTGGCTCATACTGTATAAGGCAACAGGGAGTAGACTTCTGTCTGTGGGTCGACTGTCATAAGGAGGGGCTGGAGCAGAGAATAACTGTAGCAAATGGTAGATTGTTTGACTGCTAGTGTATCCAGACTGTGGCTTCTGACTGTGCCCATAGTCTCTGTACTGTGGTCTTAAAGGACCAGCAGGAGATATCTCATAAGCAGAAGAGGTGGCACTAGAAGTGGGTGTTTTATAAATGAACACAGTGGGGAATGGACTTTCCTTATTCTGTGCTTTGATACATTTTGTCAAGATAGCGTACATGTAACTCCTAGCTTCTGCACGCTGTTCAGCTTTTCTAAGCATGGGCAGAAGTGTTTGCAGAAAAGAGACATATGCATCTCTTCTAATACTAATGACTTTGGGGTCCACTTGTGTTCGCAAAGCCACCTGACTTCTCTTCATCTGCTGAAGCGCGGTCACTATTCAGTGAAAAAAAATACACCACTATGTAAACAATACATCACTATGTAACACTTTAATTGGTATACTGCTAGAATAACTTTTCAGCAATTTGTGCTGCTGCAGCCTACCACTGGCACACATGGCATCAGTAACAACACAGCTATGAACCAATGTCAACCACACCTAAAGTGCCAGCATTGACACTTTTCATACTCTAGGTATCATACATAAATACACTATATTGCCAAAAGTATTGGGCCATCCCTCCAAATAATTGAATTCAGGTGTTCCAATCATCTCCATGGCCACATGTGTATAAAATCAAGCACCTAGGCATGCAGACTGCTTCTACAAACATTTGTGAAAAAATGGGTTGCTCTCAGGAGATCAGTGAATTCAAGCGTGGTACCATGATAGGTTGCCACATGTGCAATAAGTCCATCTGTGAAATTTCCTTGCTGCTAAATTTTCCATGGTCAACTGTTAGTGGAATTATAACAAAGTGGAGGCAACTGGGAACAACAGCAACTCCGCCACCAAGTGGTAGGCCACGCAAAATGTCAGAGTGAATTCAGTGCATGCTGAAGCACACAGTGCGCAGAAGTCGCCAACTGTCTGCAGAGTCAATAGCTAAAGATTTCCAAACTTCATTTGGCCTTCAGATTAGCACAACAACAGTGCATAGAGAGCTTCATGGAATGGGTTTCCATGGCTGAGCAGCTGCATCCAAGCCTTACATCACCAAGTGCAATGCAAAGCATCAGATGCAGTGGTGTAAAGCACGCCTCCACTAGACTCGAGCAGTGCAGACGTGTTCTCTGGAGAGACAAATCACACTTCTCTGTCTTGCAATCCGATGGATGTGTCTGGATTTGACAAGGAACCAGAAAAACTTAAATACTCCTGCGCTTGGAGAGTAGGCCCAAAAAGAGTTGGTGAACTGCAGTCAATTTGAGGAAGAGGATAAGTCCTCGAACTGCGTTAGCCTGTTGAGATTCCATCATTCTGTTATATCTTGATGTTTTCCAGATTGCTTTGTGCTGCTGTCATGAGATGAACATGTCATTTTATCCATTTGTGAGTATAATACCATTTTATACAGTTTCAAATTTTTAAAGGATAATGCACTAGGCCAGTGCGTCCTCTGTTTATTATTGCATGTGTCTGGGTTTGGCAGTTGCCAGGAGAATGGTACTTGTCTGACTGCATTGTGCCAAGTGTAAAGTTTGGTGAAGGGGGGATTATTGTGTGGGGTTGTTTTTCAGGGGTCGGGCTTAGCCCCTTAGTCCCAGTGAAGGGAACTCTTAAGGCGTCAGCATACCAAGACATTTTGGAAAATTTCATGCTCCCAACTTTGTGGGAACAATTTGGGGATGGCCCCTTCCTGTTCCAAGTGGCTTGCACAAAGCAAGGTCCATAAAGACATGGATGAATGAGTCTGGGGTGAAGGAACTTGACAGGCCTGCACAGAGTCCTGACTTCAACCTGATAGAACACTTTTAGGATGCATTAGAGTGGAGACTGTAAACCCGGCCTTTCTCGTCCAACATCAGTGCCTTACCTCACAAATGCACTTCTGGAAGAATGGTCAAACATTCTCATAGACACACTCTTAAACCTTATGGACAGCCTTCCTAAAAGAGTTGAAGCTGTTATAGCTGCAAAGGGTGTGCCAACTCGATAATAAATCCTACGCACTAAGACTGGGATGCCATTAAAATGTTTGTGCGTGTAAAGGCAGGCATCCCAATACTTTTGTCAATATAGTATATTCAGTTCAATACATAGCAGAGTGGATAGTCGTGCTACTTGATGTGGTTCTCCAAGGACTCATTCAGGATTTGCCTCCTGGGAAATCTGTGTTCGGTTACACTCCTGCTCCTACTCAGCAATCTGCAGGATTGCCCCAATCTTCTACATTTCTTGGACTTCATAGGTTATCTTATAAAATCAGGAAAAATATGTCCAATTAGATTTCGGATAAGTTCGTAATCAAACATAGGCTGAAAGGTAATCCTTGTCAGGTGGCCATGATTGTGATATTACAGTCATATATACTTAAATCACACTTTACACACTCTAACAGCAGCACAAAAATGAATGGCTTGTAAAAATGTTGAGCACAGTAGATATTTCCTTGACCCTAAGTACTTTATTGCTCAACATCCCCTCTAAATAACCATGGCACTCTATATTCCAGACAATGGGATACTGCTCAAACACAGACATTTGGACAAGTTTGAATGAAATCTCCCACCAGGTTTGGATATGGCCACCAAAATGCACAATGATATGTAACACCTATATGCTACTTTTGACAAAAAGACACTCCACAGAAAGTTTAAAGACAAGTTTAAAGACAAGTTTCTGTGTCTTTAGAAATTAAAAAAAAATATATTCTATTTAAAGGTCAATATAAATGAAGAATGTTTTTACAAGTACCACAGCTAAATGCATATATTTGCATCATGCAGTTAGAGTTTCTAATCTTCCCCTGGAAGCTGAATTCTATTTTTTTTTTCTTAATATTGCTAAACTGAACACACCTACATTTATTCTCTAATGAAAAAAATCCCTGGAGATGAGCAACACAGCAAACAAACACTAACAGGCCCAACACAAAAGAACAGTTAGAGACTGCCTGCAGCTTAAAGCACCACCTAAAAGACCATATGATGGCTGCTGCTGGCACCAGATAAGGCAGAAACATCCACCTGAGAATGTGTGAACAGAAGACCAAGTGGAAGACTTGGAAACCTAAGAAACAGAGGCCTGATGCCACTTGCTGCCCTAGTGGAGTGATCCTTAACTGGAATGGGGGAACCTGATCCTTAAGACCATAAGCCTGAATAATTGTCTGTGTAAGCCACCACATAATGCTGGAATTGGAAGCCAGAAATCCCTTCCAGAGCCCATCTGGAATTACAAAATTACTCACACAGACTTAACCAAATCCAAACAATGGGTAAGAATTTGCTTTTGGTGAAATGGAGCCAGACCGTCTGCAAGACTAAAAACTGCCCTTTGTTGAGTTACTCACCTAGCTGAGGTGATGGCCACAAGAAAAACAATGTTGTTGGCTATCATACAGAGAGGGATATCTCTAATAAATTCAAATGAAGGCATCTGAAGTACTGAAAGAAGGAGAATGAAATCCCACAGAGTTTGACAATTGGATGGGGTGGACCAATGTCCTTAATAATAAAATGGAAAGCCAACAGTCTCTGGAGAAGAACAGAAAGACATGGCCGCTGATTGTACTAGGCACTAATTGTTGGTCCAGACCCAGCTGCAAAAAATAGAGGATCCATCCCACAGCGAAACTCCTAGGGTGAAAATCCTAAGCAAGCATAGTACGCTGTCATGTTCAATGACAGACTCTATAGAAAGTGAACCTCCTAGCCTTAAGTATCTTAGGAATTACAATCTTAGAGATGCCCCTGTTTCTTAGAATATGGGCTTCAACAGTCATGATGTTAAAGTCAGTGACTGAGTAGCAGGGTGGTAAATTGGTCCTTGGGACAGCAAACATGGATGGTCTAGCAGAGCACACAGCACATCTGCAAAAAGTAGTACCAGGTTGGTGTACCACGTCCACCTGGGCCAATTCAGAGCAATGAGGATCACTGGATTGTCCTCCATCTCGGTTTTGCAGAGTATATGAGGAAGAAGTTTCAGGGGAAGAAAGGTAAAGATAAGGATGTACTAAACCCACAGAGCCACTAGATTATCCACTGCTTCCACCAGCAGATCCCTAGACCAAGATACAAACCTTTCCAGGTTGCTGTTTAACATGGAAGCGGGGAGATCGACATCTGGCACCTCCATCTGTGACTAGGTACTGGTACACCTCCAGGTGCAGAAACCATTCCTCTGGGTCCAGACCGTGCCTGCTGATGAAAACTACCTGTCAGTTCCCTACACCAAAATAAAAATAAGAAAAAGTCAGTGCTGGAAAAAAATCATATATGGGCTGCTAACGTCAAGGTTGATATAAAAAAAACCCATAATAGATCAATAATAATAATGCAGCACCCTAAAACAATAAAGTCCCAAATCCAAGTGTAGTAATCGTGATGACAAATCTTTATAAATCTGTGATCACCATCAAATGAACATCCACCGAAAGGTATGTACTATGAATCACCAGGTAGAATACGAATTCACCAAAAATAAGTAGTACCAAGTAATGCTCACCATCTATACAAGAACTGCAGCCACAAATATACTGTAAATTGGACTATAAAACCCTGTTCTTGTATTATTGGACAAGAAATCCAACAACAGACAAGGCTACAGTATGTTACGGGATGGCTGTCAAACTTTAGCAGTGCATATCATATATTATTCATGGTTGTTCTGTCCCCACTACATGTTTCCCTGTGTGTAACTCAACATGCAGCTAAACCCTCCTATTCTGCAGTAAGCCAGACTGAATGTAATCTTGAAGCTTTTGAAAACACAGATGAAAAATACAATGTGTGAACATACAAACATAGAAATACAAATAATTCAGCTTTGGATGGCAATAAGTCCATGCTCACCAGTGGTGCTACCTGCAGCAGATATACATTCAGTCGACAACATGTGCTGCAGAGAATTATGACTGGTTCCTTACCCTCAGTTCTTAAAATGGAGTCTAAGTTCCCAGGATGCACCTGTTTTCTTATTAACTAAAGAAATTCTAGTTTCTGCAAAAACAGCAAATTTATTCTAGGCTCCAACTAGTGGCCAAATTTAATACTGCAGAGAGAACAGGCATAATAAATTTCCCTGGTGGACGCAAAACAGTGGTGCTGTATATCCCTTACTATTCCATCCGTTTTCTTGTGAATATACACAACTGGTATACACTCTAAGAGATCCATAGATATATTTGTCATGTTGGTTGGATCAGAAGTTGAAAAACTACTCTGATCGTTCTTTTACAGGGAGGCCATACCTCTAAAATAGACATGTGCATTTTGTTTTATAACAATCAATTTTTGGATGAAAATTTGATTAATGTTCAAATGTGTACAAACCTCTGAGTGGACATAGTAAGGAATGTCAACTAATCCGAAAACAGTTATAATAAAATTAATGAATGCATTTGTTTAATTCGGACAACGTCACATGATGCGATAGTGGTTCGGGCCCATGAGGATAAATAAAAAAAAAATTTAATTAGTTCGATAATTCAGATTCAAGTAAATTTGCGATTTAAATTGACTTTGTAAGAGACACAGTCAGTCAGTTCAGTTCCACAGTATAATGTAATTCATAGGTTTGAAAAATTCAGGGCCACTGCATTTTGAATAGTTTTGACATTTGAATAGCAAATCCACCGAAATATCGAAACCAAAAAACTAAATATATATAGCAATCGTCAAAAAAAACCTGCTAAATTTTTTTAATTCAAACGGACCAACGATCGAATTGAATTCAGAAAATGAAACGGTTCAACATGACGAATATGACAAAACTAAATTCTTCAATGAACAAATGCATCTGAAACTAAATGAAGCTATAATTTCTGGCATGCACATGTCTACTTTAAAGTCTAGGAAAACATTAGAGAATAACACAGATTAGGACATGAAACAGGAGCTCAAAACACTCTAAACAGGATCTGCACCCTGAGAGTACAAGATTAAAGCAGCAATATAACACAAAGCTATTATCGCCTTCTCCTTTTGCCCCCTTTCGGTCATACAAGGTAAAAGAAAGGTCTGTAATACATGCCCTGAAGCCACTACGGCTTGGTTCTCCCAAGGCTGCAGGCGGCTATAACAAAATCCTAGGCATTGGTAACTTGATCT